TATTATTATTATTATTATTATTATTATTATTATTATTATTGATCAGATTTTTTTACCCCACCATTACAAGTACAATAAACAAAAATATTGAATTTTTTTAAAAAATGAAAACCCATAAAACTCACAGTACCAAACAAAGAGCGTCATGACTCAAATGCTCTCTGGAAGACATCTTCAACATCTTCTGAAAGGTGTCCAAGGTAAGTGCAGATAGTAATGAGCAGCAGGCAGTCAATATACAAAAAGGAAACCTAACTTGCCTCTGTGGCCCAGCTTCTCACACAGGCGCTCGTACTCCATCATCCTAGGGACAGTGATCTTGGTCTCAAATAAGGTCTCATGAAAGATCAACACCATGCTTCCCCAGCCCTGGATCAAGGCTGGACAAACCTCTGAAAGGGCAGTGTTCCCACCCTCACTCAACCAGGTGTCAGTAATACATGTCTGGTCTTCCCACTTGTCCATCATCAGGTCATGTATAGACATGGTCTTATTAGAAACAGATCTGGCATTAACCAGAAGCAACCTGAGATTAGGTGTCCTGGGAATCAGACCACCAGATCCCCAGGGTGAAGTTGCTGATTCAAAAGAAGACATCACCACTAAGTTGGAGATCTCCCTTCCTTTAGAACAGCCAACTCAGCACCCCCCACAATATCTTCCTTAGTTCGACATCAACAGGATGAAGGAGCTGTGCCCTCTTTCTCCCACTCCAAGTTCCATACACTCTAACATGGGTGGTGATTCTCTTCCTGTAAACATCCCTAATTTCCCCATCCTCTTTTCATCCCAACCATCCAAAGATGGGTTCAGCAATCAGGTACAAACCTCTCACACCGAATCCAAGCCCCCAAAACAAAATTAAGGTCAGTTTAGCACCCTGAGCCTCTCCCACAGGCTTCTGAGCCCCAGTCATTCTTACTGCAGACTAGGCCATCTTCATTCCTAGGCTCTCACCCACTTGGCTGCTTAGCTCCAGGTTGTACAATACAGTCCACTTCTCAGGAATGGGGGAGATCAACCAGAGCACTGGTGGTCCACAGCACTAGCATCATTGGGGACCACCCCAACCTGTCCCTAACCATTGGGTCCCAACACATGAGGTCCCAGTGAAATGTGGTCTCCTGGTCCACTCACTACCTGCATACCCATTGCTGAACCACCTAACTGTTGGTCACTATCTAGGGGCCACTGCATTGACCCAGCCCAGCTCCCTTCTGCCAGGTCACAGTGGCCCCCAAGGAAAAAACCTTGCAGCCTCCCCCAGCAGGAAGGACTTAACCTATCCAGGTGATCTACAATTCAGTCCAAGGGATCCAAAGAGATCTGTTATCAAACACTCCTGCCAAATAGTACTACAAGACTGCACATGGCTGCTTAGCAAAGAATTAGAGTTTTCTGTATGTTTTTGGTCCCTTCTGAATTTTGCAGCCCAAGTCTGGTAGCTTTATTTTCTACTGACAGAGTACTTATTCTCACTATATGCTCTAATACTAAAGGTGACATGACTAATAGCAGGCAACCATGAGTTACAATTTAAAATATGTTTTCTTCTTTGTGGTTGAGAAATATTTACTATCAGTTATGGTAGATTGATTAATTGATTGATTGATTGATTGATTATGTGCCATCAAATTGGTGTCAACTCTTAGTGACTACATAGATAGATTTTCTCCAAGAGGATCTGTTTCCATCCTGGTCCTTCAGATATTCCAACAGTGCACCCATCACCAATGTAATGGAGTCCATCTACCTTGCTGGTGGTTGTCTTCTTCTCTCTTTTCTTCCACCTTTCCCAGAATTCTAGATTTCTCCAGAGGGATAGATCTTCTTATGTGTGCTTAAAATATAGTCAGTATTTTAGTAGCTAAGTAGCTAAGTAGCTATATTTCAGTAGCTCTGAAATGGCTACTTAGAGTTCCTGGGTCTCAGCAAGTGGCAGCATTTAATCTACCAGTATTTAATCTTAAAAGCTAAGCAAGGTCACCCCTAATTAATACTTGGATGGGAGACCACAAAATATTCCAAGGCTGTAGGCTAGACTAGGCATTAAAAAAAAAAAAGATCCAAAGCAAGACAATGGGCACCACTTATCTAATACTACTAAGAAAACTGCATACAAGTGTCCATGGAGTCAAACTCAAATTAAGGGAAATATTCCTTTTAAGTCTTAAGAAAATAAGTTGTTTGCCCAACATACACACAAACACAGAGACACACAAACAAAGTGGTGAAAAGAAAACATAAAGCATAGGTATCTCTGGTGAAGGAATTTCACAACTCTGGTGCCATTACAGAACATGATACTTCTGTGCAGATGAATTATTTTAGTAGCCCATTAGGCAAGTGCTGTACCTCGGGTGAAGGATTCAATCTCAAATTGAGCTCCATTCACTTGTCCTTTTGGTACCTTCCTTCCTGGCATGGTCCCAGAGTCTGGGAATTAAATTATGCACTTTTTTTAAAAAAAAACTATTTTATATACTTTCTAATATAAACCTTTGGGGTCTACCCAAAATAGAGGCTGATCTCAGGCTGATCAGTGAGCTCTTAGGCTGATCAATGAGCTCTGCCCCCTGGGATAGCGTAGCGTGTGGAGAAACTGTTGTAAAGTTGAAGTCCTTGACCTGTGAAAATCAAAAGCTTTAAAGTTTGATGATGAAAATGAGCTGGCAAAATGTGCCCTGAGTGGCAAAACATCTTCTGCACAATGAGCTCATACTTGTGAATCAGGAAGTTTCACTTAGCAAATGAATTCCTCAAAATTTTTCGTTATCACCTACTTAGCATATATTTGATAGGCAAATGATCAAAGCTTATGATTTAGGATGAGTTCAAATATCAGAAGAACTTGAATGCTTCATTTTCTTACTGTGCAGTTTTCAATCATATACTGCAGTTACTTAATGTACTTCATTTTGTAATATTGTGAAGTAATTAACCTCAGGAATGGACCTTTGGGCTCAACTGAAATCAGCCACTAAATTAGATCTAGCTTCAATTCATGTCAGTAGCATTTTTTAAAATACTGACCTGGATAGTACTGGATTGAGCCTTCTGGCTAGATATAGAGCTTACACATCAGTATTTAATTAAAGCTACACATCAGTATTTAATTATAGCTAAATAATATTAAATATTCTCTGAATAACTAGCTACAAATATGTAATTGTACAGTTGGAAATAAGAAATTCCAAATAATCATGCAATTTCAATAAGTCTCACAACTTGCTTTTGTTTTGTTTTTTCAACTGAAGAATATGTAAACTATATCAATTGACAGATTACAGTTGATATAAATCTAACTCACAAATCAGATATTTTGATTAACTCTGAAAGAGATTTCAATTCCAGATGATAATTATAAAGTTAGTAGTTGATGCTAGTTTCTCCCTTTCTCTCTCTCTCGGCACATAACATTAGACAACAATAATTTTACTATGCTTGAATTGTGTGAGAGAAATATTCTCCTGAGAGATGATTGTGCCAGCTGATGTGTTTTGCAGGCTATCTTAAGGGAAGCCTAACACTTTTCAAGCTAATAGAAAAATGGCCATACCAAGATATTGTTAGACCCCATTTAGATTGCAGTAGGCTCTGTATGGATCTGGCTTTCAAAATTGTTCAGAAATTTCCATTGGTCCAGAATGTCAAAGTCAAATTATTGACTAAGACTGGTCATAGGGAATATGTGACTTTATTTGCTGCCTATCTTTCCTGTGTAAAATTCAAAGTGCTGTTACAATTTATAAAGATCTATGTGGCATGAAATTAGTCTATCGAAAGGATCATATTCTTCCTTATTAGCCTGCCCAGACTTTAAGATGCTTGAAAAGGTCTTTTTATTTTATTATCACCACCATCAAAGATATATCCAGAGGCAATGTAAGACAGCACCTTCTCAATTACTTTTTTCTAGGCTTTGGAACTTTCTGTCAAGAGAGATCAATCTTTTCTTTTGTCATCCTTCCATTAGCAGGGAGAAGTGTGTGTGTGTGTGTGTGTGTGTTTTAAATCTAGAGAAGTCTTTGGTATAGAAGTTTGGACTGGTGGTGAGAGGTTACCACTTCCTTTATTGTTAGATTTTTTATTGTTATATTTTAATGGTGTTCCACTATTTTTACTGCTTCTCTTTGATGTCTTTGAATGTTTTTTATTATCACAGGCAATGCAGATTTGAGTCACTGTAATCAGTGAGGATTTCTCAGTTGATTTCAGAAAAATATGAATTTCACACAAGGATTAGCTAAAAGTTATTATAACTACTACTCAAGGGGTCCCACAGGGAGAGGCAAGGAGAGGCAGGAAATATCAAGTGCATTGTGACATCATCATGGTTTCTGCCAGGCACCTATGACACTACTAAGCCCATCTTCATAAAGATTTGTAAAATAGAGTTACAAAAATGTTTTAGGGACTTCAGACTAAGCTCCAATGCCGTCCTTGCTCTCTAATGTTGACAATAACCATTATGATTAAGGTCAAATTCATGGCCAAGGGAGAGGGTAGGTTGGATTTGAACATGGGTTTCTCCAAATCTAATTTGCCAATATCTACTGCAACTCATTATCTCTAAAAACCTTAGTGC